TGACCTTAACCACTAAGCCACAGGACTGGCCCCCGCAATTACTTTAAAAATAAATAAAATCTGTGTGATAGTTAAAATGACACTTTAAAAAAAAAGGATCAAAATGAGAACACATTTGAGCTGGTAAAATATATTTATACAACCAAAACAACATTTCAAAAAGAAGGCGAAATAAAACAATTCATTTTCAGGTTACAGGTGTTTTTGGTACTACATACTGTCATCCCACGGCCAAAGAATCAAGATGTACCTGAAAGCAGTTTATAAACCATAGAATGCTATGTGGAAACGTGTTCCGTTATTGTGACTGTTACAGTAGCTACAGGGTGATTTTAGCCCAGCAAAGAGTCTCCAGCAGGAGACTACTTGAGCTTTGTGATTCGTTTATGGCTCAGAATCAAATTAGGGAAATAATTCCTTCTTAAGAAGAGAAATGCCACTGCTAAATTCAATGTGCTTCTCAGACATAGTCAATGAAAAAAATTCAATTCCATTTACAAACACATCAAAATATCTAGCGCATGTCTTCTTTAAACATATAGAGAAGCTTGTAAACTGTGGGTCAAATACCTAATACCTATTTTTTAAAAAAAGCAGTATATGGGCCGGCCCTGTGGCTTGGCGGTTAAGTGCGCGCGCTGCGATGCTGGCGGCCCGGGTTCGGATCCCGGGTGCGCATCGAGGCACCACTTCTCCGTTCATCCTGAGGCCGAGTCTCACATACAGCAACTAGAAGGATGTGCAGCTACGACAAACAACTATCCACTGGGGCTTTGGGGGGAAAAAATAAAATAAATAAAATCTTTAAAAAAAAAAAAAGCAGTATAGCAAAAAATGCTGATATGAAATGACAAGTTGAAGCATGTCTGGCATATAGTGGACAAATTTGACACATTTTCTGAAAATGCTAAGAAAAAGAATAGAGATGAAAAAAGAGAGTAAAGGGTTACAGAGGATTTAGACAGAATATTCAATCTAAGCACTACAAGTATAAACAATGAAGGAGAAACAAGGAACAAGAAAGAAGAAAGAAAAAAATTAAAGAAATACAATGATCGATTGAAAAAAATTTTTTCTGATAAAAAAATGCCTAAGATCTCACACCACCCACAAAAATTAACTCAAAATCGTTCATAAGACTTAAATGTAAGAGCTAAAACCATAAAACTGTTAGAAGAAACATCAGAGTAAGTCTTGGTGACCTCAGGTTAGGCAATGATTTCTTAGATACGACACCAAAAGTACAAACAATGAAAGAGAAGAATGACAAACTGGACTTTATTAAAATTAAAAGCTTTTGTGGGGGCCGGCCCCGTGGCGTAGCAGTTAAGTGCGAGGGCTCCACCGCTGGCGGCCTGGGTTTGGATCCCGGGCGCGCACCGATGCACTGCTTGTCAGGCCATGCTGTGGCGGCGTCCCATATAAAGTGGAGGAAGATTGGCACAGATGTTAGCCCAGGGCCTGTCTTCCTCAACAAAAAGAGGAGGATTGGCATGGATGTTAGCTCAGCGCTGATCTTCCTCACAAAAAATAAAAAATAAATAAAAATAAAAGCTTTTGTGCTTCAAAGGACACCATCAAGAAAGTGAAGAGACAACCCACAGAATGGGAAAGTATATATGTGCAAATTATTACATCTTACAAGGGACTGGTATGCAGAACACACAGAGGACAACCACAGGTTAAAAATAAAAAGATAAATAACCCAATATGAAAAATGGTCAAAGGATTAGCATACACATTTCTCCAACAAAGAAATAAAATTGACCAATAAGCACATGAAAAGATGCTCAACACCATTAATCATTAGAGAAATGCAAACGAAAACCACAATGAGATACCACTTCACACCCACTAGGATGGCTATCATCAAAAAGAAAAACAATAACTAGCGTTGGTGAGAATGTAGACAGACTGGAACCCTCATACACAGCTCATGCAGCTTCTTTGAAAAACAATCTGGAAGTTCCTCAAAAGGTTAAACATAGAGTACCATATGACCCAGCAATTTCACTCCTAGGTATATACTCAAGAGAATTGAAAACATATGTCTACACAAAACCTTGTACAGAAATGTTCACAGCAGTATTATTCATAACAGCCAAAAAGTGCAAAATAATTCAAATGTCCATCAACTGATGATTGGATAAACAAAACGTGGTCAATCTGTACAATGGAATATTAATCAGAAATAAAAGGAACAAAGTATTGATACATGTTACCACATAGATGAACCTCAAAAACATTATGTTACTTGTGAAAAAAGCCCATCTCAAAAGACTGCATATATTATGATTCCATTTTTATGAAATTTCCAAATTAGGTAAATCCGTAGAGACAGAAAGTAGATGAGGAGTTAGAGACTGGGGGGAAGGGAGAATCACTAATGGGTGTCAGGGTTTCTTTTGGGGGTGAATAAAATGTTCTAAAATTAGATTGTGGTGACAGTTGCACAACTATGCAAATACACTAAACCATATAATTGCAAACTTGGAATGGGTGAATTTTTATTGTATGAAATATAGCTCCCTAAATCAGAGGGGGAGGAGGAGGGGAAGGAGGAGAAGAAGGGGTCAGAATTATAACTATGATAATGTTTTAAGAATTGAGAATAAAAGAGTTTGGGAGCTAAAAGCCAGACACTACTGTAGGGATTTTCATGCAAACTTTTAAATGCTTTCTTACTATTTAAATCTACCATCACTTTAATTTTTTTATTTGCCATAATTTCAACAGGCACATGAAGACGTGTGGGAAATTTGCTTAAGCAATATGCGAAACCTCAGGCTAGCAGTGAATAGAAGGCGGCCATGGGTTTGTATTCTTATAATTTCTTCACAAAGTATTCGAGGGCAGGGACCGTTCATTTTATCTTTGAGTTATCTGTACTCAATACAGAATGCAGCACATACTGAGGGCCAAGTAAATGCTGAATAAATAAGATATACATGGACAATGATGGAGAATAAAGAAAAAAAGTCTAAGTATGCAATTTAAATGGTTTACAACATTCTAGGGGGAAAAAAGACTTAAAAAGACCTCGGCATACTGGGGTCATTTTTTGAATTATAATAGTGAAAGAAAATAATTCTTTAAAAAGATGCAATTAACCTATAAAGCAAAAGAAAAAGCTGATCTCAACGGTCTCTTCTGTTGCACAAAATAGGAGGCAGCAGAGTGTAGGAGATGAGAACACTGTCTCTGGAATCCTCCATTTAACAAATGCTTATGAAGCACCTGCAACATGCAAGACCCTGGCTTAGGAACCAGAGAAACAGCGACAAGCAGGGTCCTGCTCTTAGCGACATTTCATTTTAATGTAGCCAGATAGCATAAGCAAATAAATAAGATCATTTGAAATAGTGATGAGTTTTATGAAGAAAATTTAATGAATATAGGGACATGAGAGTGATTGAAAGCATAGATTTAGATAGAGTGGTCACAGAGGATTCATTTTATGACCCCGTATTATCTTTATAATGGCAAACTTTTTTTAAAATATATATTAACTTCTTTAAAAATAAACTGCCAGTACAGTTCCGAACCTAGGGATGTATAATACAATTATAAAACATGTGAGAATACAATTATAAAACATGAGAAAAAGATTGCATTTTTTACCCAGAAATAAACTGTAAATTAAAAATAACTTCTTGGGCCGGCCCCGTGGCTTAGCGGTTAAGTGCGCGCACTCCGCTACTGGCGGCCTGGGTTTGGATCCCGGCCGCGCACCGACGCACCGCTTCTCCGGCCATGCTGAGGCCGCGTCCCACATACAGCAACTAGAAGGATGTGCAACTACGACATACAACTATCTGCTGGGGCTTTGGGGAAAAAAAAGGAGGAGGATTGGCAATAGATGTTAGCTCAGAGCCGGTCTTCCTCAGCGAAAAGAGGAGGATTAGCATGGATGTTAGCTCAGGGCTGATCTTTCTCACAAAAAAAAAAAAAAAATAACTTCTTATCTTTACAATCATTCACTCCTATATAAAATTAAAAAATCAAAAATTAAACCTATTTATCCTTAATATTTTACCTATTGCATGAATGTGTTTGATGCTTTAGGGTTGAAGGAAGTCAATATCCTAAGAATCTCAAGAACTAAAATACAGGCTAAATCATTTAAATAAAACAAAATAGGGGGCCGCCCCGTGGCTTAGCGGTTAAGAGCGCACGCTCCGCTACTGGCAGCCCGGGTTCGGATCCCAGGTGCGCACCAACGCACCGGTTCTCTGGCCATGCTGAGGTCGCGTCCCACATACAGCAACTAAAAGGATGTGCAACTATGACATACAACTATCTACTGGGGCTTTGGGGAAAAAAAAGGAGGATGGCTGGCAATAGATGTTAGCTCAGACCCGGTCTTCCTCAGAAAAAAGAGGAGGATTAGCACGGACGTTAGCTCAGGGCTGATCTTCCTCACAAAAAAAAAAAAAGTACAAAATTATTTACCCACTATACACAAGAATATAAAATCAAAGACACATTTTGGTAAAAGCACATCTAGCTTCTGCTACCAGTCTGCTCAAGACACACACAACTAAAGTTGTATCTAGAACTGTCTAGAACATTCCATCATTCCTTTAGTCAAGAGATATTTTATCCTATGAAAAAGAAAGAAAGAATAAAAGAAGCATATAAGTGTACAAAAATGCAACAGGAGAGAGGTCCCACATTCTTGCACATGCATTCCGAGGCTCCTTAGTCCTCAATACCCCAGGGTGTAAAATCAGATGCAAATCAGGTTATGATGTAGAGAAATGTATATATAAAACCATCTAACAAAACAGCTCTCCTCAACTTGAGTAAAACAATATGTCATCTTCTTTTCCTATTGTTTTTTCATGAGAATGAAGAAACAGTGTCAAAGAAAAAAAGCATGATCTAGTAGATATATTTATATAACATTCTATCTATAACTTTCAGAAACTTACCACACATCAGACACGGGGAAAAAAACACAACTAGAGAAAAGTTTCAGGCATTAAGAGTCCACTGACCTTAACCCATTGAACAGTTGCTTAGATTTATCCAGAAGATAACAAAAATCTGTCACTGTTTTCCTCTCTCCCTGTGGGATGTCATCTTCCGCACCTCCAGAGGACATGATTTCTTGAAGAGCAAATTCAGTCCTGTAAGGAAACATGTGTGCAATTACCAAGCAGGTGAAAATAAAAAGAGAAACAGACCTTAGTTATATCATCTGATAGCATTTTTTTCCAAGATAGAGAATTATTCTGATTATAATCAAATAATCAAAATAATTTAAATGTAAGCTGGTGCGGCAGAATAGACAATCTCATATTGTCAGTGGGAATGAAAATTGGTACATCCATATTGGAAAGCAATTTTAATAATATTCTTTCATCCAATAAATAATATGTGAATGCATACCATGTTCCAAGTACTCCTCTACATGGTTAAGAATCAAACCTGTTGATCTTTTCGGCCTATTTATCTATTTGACCCACTCTGTAAATCCACCCTGGAAAATGATCCTACAAATGGAAAACACTTCACCCATAAAGATATTTATTTCAGTATCATAATATTTAAAAACTGATAACAACCTAAAAGAACCAAAGAGGGTAACAGTTAAGTACTTCACAGAACACTGACGACCGCACTCTGCCCTATCACTAACTTACATTATATTTAAGATGATAAGGCAATAATATGGGGACACAGTATAAAAGGGATATAAAAATCATACACACCCACACACACATATTTTAAAGCTATGTTTTACTGAATCCAAATTATCTTCCTATATAATCAATCATGTTAATCAGCCATTTTAAAAACAGCAAGTTGCCAGACAGTATACAGTACACTAAGAACCTATACTAAACAAAAAAAATTCGTTTGTGTTTACGCATGGACAGAAATCCCTGGGACAACAGAGGGAAATGTAGTCCCAGGGTAGGGTGAAAAAACAGGCAGAGAAGACAAGGGCCAGACACCAGAGATGGGAGTTCGGGCATCGTGCAGTTATTTTGGTAAATATTTTTCTCTACAACACTGTCTTGAACAGGTGATTGCAGCTGCAAGGCAGGAAAATTGTCAGTAAGCCTAGCTCTGCCAAGGGGCTGCCGAGTAACATATGGGTGGCACTGGAGCCAGGTGGTGGAGAACTAGTTTACAACATTCATGGACAGCACTGGGTGGTCCCTGCATGTTCACATGGTCCCTCTTCCCACCATCTCTTTCCACACTCCATGGACTAAGTGTTTTTAACAGAGGGAAACAGATCTTGAAAAGCACTGAGCCTGGGAAGGGGTTTCACTCTGTAATGACCCTGACCCTGGTTAAGTCCTTTCCCCACCCAACGCCCACCTTCATTCTTTTTTTTTTTTTGGTGAGGAAGGTTGGCCCTGAGCTAACATCTGTGCCAATCTTCCTCTATTTTGTATGTGGGATGATGCCACAGCATGGCTTGATGAGTAGTGTGTGGTATGGGCCCGGGATCCAAACTTGTGAACCCCGGGTCCCTGAAGCAGAGCACGTGAACTTAACCACTACGCCACGGGGCTGGCCCATTCTCTAAACCCAGCAGGAGAGGCACAAACCCGACTCTAGCTTTCTCCACCCCACCTCATATACCTCATGAGCCAAGGTAGCTAACATCCCCACGACAGAGACGTTCACGAGAAAAACAGAAAATAAAAGTTTAAAATAAACAAATTCAATATGGAAGGATATTAGAAATAAAGCAGGGAAGAAAATGCTACAATGAAGCAAATAAAAAATCTGGGTATGAAAAATATAATTACTGAAATAAACCTAATGGATGGATGGACTGAAGAGCAGAAGGGATACAGCTGAACAAATTAATAAGCTAAAATATCACGTTTAAGGTACTCTTCCAAAAGACATCAGGAAGAGAAAAATATATAAAAGAAACATCAAGAGAGATGGAATAGAGTGAAGGAAATAACATCCACATAATAGCATAGATAGGAAAGAAAAAAATACATGAGGGTGATGAAATATTTGCAGAAATAAACTTCTGTAAACTTTCCAGAATTAGAGAAAATGTAAGCCCTCAAACTAAAAGAGCTCAAAGAATGTAAAAAAAAAAAAAAAAAGAAAAGATAAAGAATCTCATAGCTAGAAACATTCAAGTGAAACTACAGAATTTCAGAGAAGCCTTCCCCCATTCCTGAATAATCCAGTCCTGTAGTCATTGGGTGGGGCGGAGCACAGGAGGTGCCCCCACAGAGGGCAGCCTGCATGGGTACCAGAGTGCCAACTGTGAGAAGACCATCGACGTCCACACAAAGGGCCAGCTTGCTCAGGACGCTGGAGCCCGAGTAAGGCGAGGAGGGCGTCCTGAGCGGGGAGAACTGGCAGGAGTGAGAGCCTGAGCAGGGTGAGGAGGGCATCTCCACATGGAAGGGCTCAGAGGCAGCATTAGGAGATCTGACATATCTAGGAGGACTCATCAAATAAGAAAATCTATTAGGGACACTGGGACCCAGTTCTCTCTGTAAGAGAAGGAAGACACAGATATGGAAAGGAAAAAGTTAGAATGAACCCTGTGCATTGAAACTAGAGGTCAATAGTTGAAACTATTGAAACATAGTTCATCCATATGGATGAACTAATGGATTTTTAAAATATAGACATAAATGTGTGGGGTGTGTGTTTGTGTGTGTGTATACATAAGCACAAACACATACATACTCCCTAACTCTGTAAATCTGTCAGAGGGCCTTGGAGTAGTGACCACGTCCAATCTCCAATGGAATGAACATACCTAGCACCCAAATCTTGGCTTCTAATACCATCCTCCAATAAACGGAACCAGAACCCTTAGAGAATTATAACTAGCTAGTTACAGCACTGAGGCAGACAAAGTGCAAGATGAATATGGAATATCCTGTGCTAGGGAGCAAGAAAGTGCTCAGAGAATGATAGAGACGGGCCGGCCCCGTGGCTTAGTGGTTAAGTGCACGCGCTCCGCTGCTGGCGGCCCGAGTTCGGATCCCGGGCGCACACCGACGCACCGCTTCTCCGGCCATGCTGAGGCCGCGTCCCACATACAGCAACTAGAAGGATGTGCAACTATGACATACAGCTATCTACTGCGGCTTTGGGGGGAAAAATAAATAAATAAAATCTTTAAAAAATAAAATAAAATAAAGCCAAAATCAGATACTACGAAATGTCTACCAGAACATCTCAAATGTTAAAAAACCTAACAATCCCAAGTGTTGGAAGAATGTGGAGCAACAGGAACTACTAGAAAACTATTTAGCAGTATCTACTAAAACATACCTTTTGACTCAGCAACTAGGTACATACCAACAGATATGCAACACGTGTGCACCAAAAGACATTTACAAGAATGTTCATAGAAGCAAAATCTGTAATTACCAAAATCTGGAAGCAATCAAATATCTATCAATAATAAAATGGATAAATGAGTGGAATACTGTAGTGTAATGAAAATGAACACACTACAGCCACCTGCAACAACACGGACAAACCTAACATAAGGTTAAGTAAAAGAAAAGTAGATACCACAGAACACATACTGCACGATTCCAGCACATAAACGACAAAACAGATAAAACTGAACTATGGTATTTGACAGATTCATCAAGAGAGTGGTTACTTTTAGGGAGGAGGCAAGAAATAAGAGGGATGCTAGCAATACTGTATTTCTTGACCTGGGGTTAACAGTGCAAAAATTTATTGAGCTATACATTATCTATACATTTTTCTGATTGTGTTATTCCTGAATAAAAAGACTTAAAAAAAAGAAAGGAAGGAAGAGGGAGGAAAAATACCAGACCCAGATGGTTCTACAAGTAAGTTTTACCAAACGTTTAAAAAACACACAACATTGAATATACTTTCCTCCCAACATTCATTTTAATAAAACTAACACAGCCTTGACACCAAAACCATAGAAGGGCAATACAAAAAAGCAAAACTACAAGCCAGAGTCCATATTATATAAACAGTTACGGCCTCAAATGTTTGTAATATTAATAGATCATGGATAATTGTAGTTTTAATACAATGCAACAAACACAATCTCACTAGTCTACTAAAAAATAAATGGGAAATTAAGATTTATGAATGAAATATATATGTACGTATCTATATCAATTATGTGGGACAAATACATGTGGAAATCTATAAACAAGGTCAGTTCTATAGACATCTATGGGAAGCATACGTGTAAACATACCACATGAGTAAGAACAGAAGTAGAGACAAAGAAAAGGACATATATTGTTGTGGGTTGAATTGTGTCCCCCCTCCAAATATGTTGAAGTCCTAACTCCTTGTCCCTGTGAATGTGACCTTATTTGGAAATAGGGTATTTGCAGACGTAATTAAGAAGTAAGTTAACATGAGGTCATCCTGAAATGCAATGAGTGCTCAATCCAATGTGACCAGTGTCCTTACAAGCCGAGGAGCAAAGACGCAGAGACGGACACCCACAGAGAGGAGAATGCCATGGGAAGACACAGACACAGAGGGAAGACGGCCATATGAAGAAGGAGACGGAGATTGGAATTATGCAGCTGCAAACCAGGGAATGCCAAGGACTGCGGGCAACCACCAAAAGCTCGAGAGACATGAAGAGATTCCCCCTCCGAGCTTCTAAAAAGGAATCAATTCTGCCAACACCTTGATTTTGGACTTCTGGCCTCCTGAAGTGTGAGAGCACAAATTCGGTTGTTTTAAGCCACCCAGTTTGTGGTCACTTGTTATGGCAGCCCTAGGAAACCAATCCATAGATGGTAGAATCCTAACACAGGTTACAGAATGGGCACACCAGCAAAAGAGCAATGAGTGGGGACAGCCACTCAAAGACTCATTCTGCTCAATACAGAGCATCGGGCAAATTACTGACCTGTCTTGTTGACAACTCCTTTTTATAGGAAGTCTTTTGACAAAGCAACAAGAGAAACTGCTATTCTGGATTTAATTCTGAGTAAGTGGTTGGCAATAAGAAAGTATGAAAGAAACCTGGAGAGATTCTGATACAAGTGGGTATCACATTATACCAGGGAACACAATGCAGAGTCTTAACAGCAGTGGAAAGGGCCTGGACGAGGACAGAGGCCAAGTGTTCCTGTTCCTGACACTTCCTAGTTATGTGATTGTAAAC